AATAGATGTTATCATATCTTATAATATCTTATAATATCTTTGTGAATATTTGATAGAGTGTAATTAGCCTTGTAATTAGGTAATTTCCTTTTTGGTCTTGTATCTTGTAGGGATTTATATCTCCTCTCTTTGATCAATACGAACAGATTAGTTCTCCCAAAATCTCTTTGTCAGATGTCATGTAAATTTATCTTCCACCATTAATAATCATTAATTTGCTGTATTTTTTTCAGTATTATCTGCTGTGGGAGGAATCAAGCAGGTCAAATCTTCCATAACCCAAGGTATAATTATTTATAATTCCAAAACTTAATTCATTATGTTGGTATTTTAATTAACTAATAAAAAATAAAATTATATAACTCTGACACAACATAATATAATGACAGCCAAATACAGCTCACCATTTGCATAACTAGACCAAATTTAATTATCAGACTATTTACAACTTTGCCCCTAACAAAGTGGTGTAGATTAGATTATTATTATTATTATTATTATTACTATTATCATTATTATTATTATTATTATTATTATTTAAATATTTAGTGGTTTGGTGGACAAGATAGTTTTTAGGATTTTGGGTGTCTTATTTAAAGATCCCTCTTCTTTGTTATTCAGTGGTTGAGTTTGAATGAATAGAAGATATTGTTGAGTTTTACGTGTTTTACGAGAGAGTATCTCGTTTACTCGTGTATCCTTCCCACTCATACGCTTCCGTACATCAGTTGGTATCAGAGCTCAGTACGATTCGCGATGTAGTCGGGACGACAAGATGCCGCAAACAAACAACGTGATGCAACCTTCAACGATCGGTTTCAACAGATTGACTATCAATTTCAAGAGTTGGACGTGCGTTTCACGGATTGGTTTGCCGATCTTTTGACGGGGATCGAGGATTTGCATTTGACGCTTAATAACGTGGTAGTTTCAGAATTCCTAACGAACTGCGATGGGGCTGTGGGCCGTGGCTTTCGCGGGAGAGACAGAGGCGGTTGTGGGGGACGCAACCATGTCGGGGCGCCCCGACAGTGGTCCCTGCCACCTCTGAACGGCTTCGTGGACGGCGACGATCAATGCGACGACATGGGCTAAATTTTATTTTTAGTCCACTATGTTGGTCATTTTCCGGAAAAGATCCATCATATAGGGTGTCATCAATAATGGTCCACTAAATTGACACTTTTAATCAAAACTCGTATAATTGCCAACATAGTGTACTAAAAGTGATTACCATTTTTAGTACACTATGTTGGCTATTATACGAGTTTTGATTAAAAGTGGCAACTTAGTGAACCATTATTGATGACACCTTATATGATTGACCTTTTTTCGAAAAATGGCCAACATAATGGACTATTTTTGAAATTTTGCCCAGCGACATGGGCTGGAGCGAGGAGGTAGCCTTCGCTGGCGGATATCGTGTCCGACGGGATTGGAGACTTGTTCGCGAATATGGTCATTGGGAGGGCCGGTTTCGCGTCGACATCCCTGAATTCGACGGAGAGGAAGTTGACGGGCCATTGTATGACGGTCCGTCAATCTTTGATGAAGAGCCTCCGGTGACGAGGAAAAATTTTTGCGGGGACCTGAAAATCGATGAGAATGCAGAAATTCGTAGTGGATTGGTGTCAATTGATGTTTATTCAAATATTGATATATCAATTGCTTATGATTCATGTGGTATGTTGTATCACGTTTTTTGTGTGGAATTTGATCCTGAAGGTAGATGTGCTGGCTCTTGGTTGTGCCCAAGAGTCTTGGTATCTGTTGTTGTCAATTTTGTTGATGATGATGGTGAGACGACTGTAGTCGTATCCCTATATGATGAAAATTAAGAGAGTGTTGCATTGGTTGGTCGACGTTCAACCTTCGTGTTTGATCGGGGAAACCGACGGGGTTCCCTACTATGGATTCGACCTGAGCACATCGGCTTCGAGGGCGAAGCCTTCCGAACCGGGGAAGAATGGTGTAGACTAGATTATTATTATTATTATTATTATTATTATTATTATTATTTTTTATTTTTTATTTATTATTATTATTATTATTATTATTATTATTATTATTATTATTATTATATTTAGTGGCTTGGTGGACAAGATAGTTTTTAGGGTTTTGGGTGTCTTATTTAAAGACCCATCTTCTTTGTTATTCAGTGGTTGAGTTTGAATGAATAAAAGATATTGTTAGAGTTTTACGTGTTTTACGAGAGAGTATCTCGTTTACTCGTGTATCTCACTCGTACGCTTCCCTACATCACAAAGTGATTAAATACACTAAGCAAATTAATAAAAAATAGTTTGTTATGTATCCTTATTTACCAGTATGAGCTTGTGTATTTCTGTATCCTTAAAAACAGATGAGGTGGTGTGGATATCAGTTGGGATCCTAATACTCCTTTTCATAGTCCAAAGATTTGGGACAGACAAAGTTGGCTACACTTTTGCTCCCATAATATGTGTCTGGTTCTCTTTCAATGCTGCAATTGGTGTCTACAATTTCTTCAAATATGACCCTTCTGTGGTCAAAGCTATAAACCCCAAATACATTGTGGATTATTTCAAAAGGAACAAAGATCAAGCTTGGATTTCCCTTGGTGGTGTTGTTCTTGCTATTACAGGTCCTCATTCATTTTTTCACATTACTATATATATGATGGTCTTAAGTTTTTATTTTTTCTTAAAGAGCTTAAATTCATTCGGATCGCCTGTTTGTTTTGCATTGTAGGAACCGAGGCGTTATTTGCCGATGTTGGACACTTTACGGTACGGTCCATACAAATAAGCATGTGCAGCGTGACTTACCCGGCACTTGTACTGGTGTACACCGGGCAAGCCTCGTTTCTCCGTGAGAACAACAGTTTAGTTTCCGAAACATTTTACCAGTCCATCCCAGGTATGCTTGTTGATTTCCACTGAGTTTCTCTGTTTTTTCTATGTGTTTTAAGCTCGAAAAATCATAACAAAATGAGAAAAAAACAGGTCCATTTTACTGGTCGATGTTTGTAGCGGCCGTGTTGGCGTCAATCATCGCGAGTCAAGCCATGATCTCCGCCACGTTTTCCATAATTCAACAATCCCTTTCGCTCGGGTGCTTCCCGCGCGTCAAAATCGTGCACACGTCTAAGAAGTATCCGGGGCAAGTTTACATTCCAGAAATCAATTACCTATTGATGATAGCTTGCGTCTTCGTAACCATTGGGTTTAAGACCACTACTGAGATCGGCAATGCCTACGGTATATTTATTTATACAATAAGTTTGTCTTTTTTTTCTTAATTTCACATATTGTTGTCACTATTGTTTCCATACGGATTGTGTGCCTTTACAGGGACTGCTGTCGTGTTCGTGATGGCGCTTACATCGGCATTTTTAGTCCTAATCATGATTATGATTTGGAAAACTCACATCCTTCTTGTGATTGCGTACATTTTGATAATCGGCTTGGTTGAGTTGGTTTACTTGAGTTCGGTTCTCTACAAGTTTGATCAAGGTAGTTATCTACCACTCGCGTTTGCCCTCTTCTTGATGACCATCATGTTCGTGTGGAACTATGTCTACCGAAAGAAGTACCATTTTGAGCTAGACCACAAGCTATCACGCGAGGAGGTAAAAGGAATTATCGAGGACATGGATTCCCATAGGCTCCCGGGCCTAGCAATCTTCTACTCGGAGCTCGTTCACGGAATCCCTCCGATTTTCAAGCACTATGTGTCGAACGTACCCGCCCTCCACTCGGTTTTGGTCTTCGTGTCCTTCAAGTCGTTGCCGATTAGTCGAGTTCCGGTCGAGGAAAGGTTCCTTTTCCGGAGGGTTCAACCTAAGGAGCTTCAAGTGTTCCGTTGTGTTGTGCGTTACGGGTACAAGGATGTGAGGAATGAGGAAGAGCCCTTTGAGAGATTGTTGTTTGAGAGACTAAAGGAGTTCATTAGGGAGGATTGTTGGCAAAATGTAAGGTCAATTGAACACAGTGATGGAGATGGGGAGTTATCTAGTGAGGGGGCGGTGCATGGTGAGGAAGGGGGTGATGTGGCAAGACAAATCGAGGACTTGGATAGGGCGTGGAGGTTCGCGGTGGTGCATATGGTGGGGGAGCACGAGGTGGTGGCGGCGGAAGGAGCGAATATTGGGAAGAGGGTTTTGATAGATTATGCCTACAATTTCTTGAAGAAGAACTTGAGGCAGAGCAATAGGGTGTTTGATATTCCTCAGAAGAAGATGCTTAAAGTTGGAATGACATATGAACTTTGATGAATGTGATTTTAGCAAGAGTATGTTTTAGAGATTGTAATTTCTCTTTTCCTCTTTTGTTTTTCATAATCTTAAACTGCAGTATATATGTGAAGAAATACATACATTGTTGGTGTGTAAGTTGTATGGGATTCCTATTCCTATCTATAAATAAATTACAAAGTTCTATATGATTTGGAGGTTTAATGTCTTATGTTACACAGATAGATTGAGCTGAGTTCATAAAAAATGATGTATAGATGTATAACTTATTGACTTTGGAGATTAGTATAATTTTTTAATTTTTTTTTTCAAAATAAAATATATATAATTTATATTTTAATCATTTTATAAATTACCTTCATTCAAATTTTAAAATATAAGTTTAAGATAAATAATATAAATATAGATAAATCTAATTTTACATATTAATCACTACGTAGTTGTCATTTTATAAGTATAAACATAAATCTATTTTTATTATTTTGAATCTAGATGATAAAAGTGTTAGCTCATTTTTGAGACACTCGAGACATCGCGGCGTCTTCCGCGAGTGCGCGGGCAGCATGCGGGCGTGCAGGCGTCGGGGTCGCGCACTCTCGACCTCGCCAGGCTTTTTGCGAGTGCGCGAGTTGTGTTGGGCGCTGGACTGCGCAACTCTCGACGTTGCAGCCATTTCTGCGAGCGCGCGAGTTGTAGGCGGCACGGGGAGCACGGGCGCGCGTGGGCAGGTCGAGGCACGTCCGGGCTTGACTAAGGACTCGACATACTCAACCGAAAATGGTTTGTATGAATGGCTGGAAACTTCTCAGAATTCTTGGGAACTTCGCTCGATTCTCCTCATTCATCCTCCGAATAATCTGAAATTTCATCACAAAGCACGAAATAGTACGCCGAAAATATAAAATAAAACAAAAGACACAAAAACACACGGAAAACGATAAAATGGACCGCTCGACACTAAAACAAACCGAAAACCGACTCGATAACACACATAAACACATAAAAATAAGCATAAAAATACAACAAACAATTCCCCCACACTTAGCTTTTTGCTTGTCCGCAAGCAAACAAAATAACAAATAGCTCGAAAACATATACCGAATGGTCCAAAAAGTTAACAATCATGCGAATATGAAACTCTCATTATCCTCCGGTAATCATAGAACCAAACTCGAATTCGGAAACATGTTCCCCACAAAATGAATTCATACAAAACAAAAACCCGTCCCAAGTCATCATACACATGATTTACTCAATTATATGCCCCCTTCCAACATATAAACGTGCAAAAAGCTAAATGAGATCTAATCGATATAAAAGAATATAAACGAGACCATAAGTCAACTCCCTTTCTTATTATATAACACTTTTTTTTTATATATATGAGTCAACTTTTTCCGAATAAGAGCAGTCGGGACGATTATTACTTAGGTTTTTCCTCGGGGTTTGTCCCCGAGTCTCCTAAGCCGGTTTTTCGTACTCATTGGTTCGATTTGCCTAGAAGACCAACCGAACCAAGTGGAATCTAATCCTTCCAACTCCCACGAGCTCATTTTTGTGAGTTTCTTTTTCCAAACGAGGTTTCCGGATTATCTAGGTTTATGATAAGTCGAAAAACATGCTCGCTTTAATCGTTTAATTTTGTAATAGTGCACGTTTATTTACACGCATTTATATGATTTTTGACTTATTTAATATTATGGTCGATTGTGGTGCCTTGATGAATTTCTTGAGTGTTTTCAGAGTTTTGGGATTATTCTTAGCAAGTGACGATGTTGAATGCAAGACGTGAGCTCGACAAATTTTGATGTAATACTGGGGTACTCAGTACTTCGTTCCAGCCCCCAGTACTCCTGCTGCAATTAATTAATTTGGGGTTGAAGTTATTTGAGAAAATTACTCCTCTCACGACTGATTTACTAAATAATATTAATATTACGTTATGGACATCTTTTCATCACAAGTACGAACTATATATTTAATTAATGAAAGGTGTAAATAAGGACGGTTTTTTTTTTTTCGTTCTCTGCACCAATTTTTAAAAGTTAAACCACCCACTACACACAATTAATGGTGGTTATTTTAGTGCATGACAATCGGGAGAGTGATATTCTTTCTCCTTCAACACACATCACTAAATCAATAAAATAATATTGCTTTTCTCTTCTAACACACTCGGCTGCCATGTGACATCTTCACAACAAGCATTGAAAGAACTTATCTTTCCTAAACACAAAAGAAAACCACTAGACTCCATAAATTTTCAATGACCAAGAGAAGAAAAAATTAGGCCAAATCCGTCAACAGTGAAGATGAAACACGATTAACACGCTCCTGATCTCGTTGAACATCTCAATTTCAAGCATTCAAACGTAAGGTCATTTGAAAGAAACTCCAATTTCAAAAAAATTCTAGATCCGAGAGGTTTCAAGAAACCGACTCCCACGATGGCCAAAGTTACCTCTCTCTCTCTCTCTCTCTCTCTCTCTCTCTCTCTCATCTTTTTTTTTTAGAAATTATCTTTCAATTTTGGATATATTGAGGTCCAACTCGGCGTGACTATGAGCGGTGGCGCAACGCACGAGGCCCCGACTGACAAAGGCTCTCGAAGGTTGATGCTCGCCTGACATGAGTGCACGGTTGAAACCGTACGGTTGTCGGAAACTTGGCCATCAACAGCGCCTGTGGAAGTTTATGTATTTTTTTAGTTAATTTTATTTGCATATGTCATATTTTTGTAGAATCTCATATTTTTATTAATGTAAACGTGTATTATATTTGTCTCGTTTCAAAATTGTTTATATGTTATTTATCTTATGTATAACTACATTAGATTTGGATTTTGCAATCATTCTGAATTGTGTATTATGTTTTATCCCCTTTTTAGAATTGTTTATATGTTGTTTATCTTATGTATAAATACACAGTTAATATTAGAGAACTGTCATATCATGTTTATATCATGTATATATACAGTATATGTGAACTTATATTTGGTGGTTATTGGGCAGCATATTTAGCGATTAAACTCCAACTCATGTAATGTAAAAACAAAGAAACAAAACCAAACATAAACACACAAAAAAGGCATTTGATGGTTTCAATAAAAAACGTCTACTTTGGGAGCAATATTTGATCAGTTACGATCGTTTTTTTTTTTTTGTTTACTAATCGAAAATCCTCCGATCTACAATCCAAAACAAAAAATGGGTATGTATATGGTAAGTATCAAATTTGGAAATTTGTAAAATCTCCTACACAATATGGTAAGTATCACATTTGGAAATGTTGTTTTTCTATAAAAGCTTTAAAAAATAAAAGAAAATAAAAGAAAAAAATGAAAAGTTCTTTTGAATGCGGGAGTATCGGATACATTAATTGAGGGCATAAGTTTGGACAAGTAATTAATATCGTAAATTTGTTAATACTTATCCACAGAATTATACATTTGATAAGAGATTCACGGTATCGTAATTTTAATAATAAGTCTGATACATAATATATGTGTGTAAATTTCCCAAGTTATTTAAGTGGAAGAATGGGCTAAGTGGACTTATATTTGGCCTGAAGACTTAAAGAAAGAGGGTCCACTTATTTTCATTGAAGAGAGAAACGTGACCTGGAGGATAGATATTAGATTTTTACTTGAAGAAAAAAAAAAAGACTTTTGTCCACACTTTTTGGCGGCGGGGACTTGAACAGAGGAAAAGAAAAAGGAGAAAACGGTTGCTAGGAAGAGGGCAGCAGAGAGCCTTGGAGAATTAGAGAAGAATTTCTTAATATCTTTTCTTTCTCTTTTCTTGTGTAATTAATTCTATGAATATGTTTTTCAATATTATGCGTAGTGAGTAGTTCTTTTATTCTAGTTCTGGGGAAGTTGAATCCTAAGACTCGACGAATGTTTGATTAATTCTCTTGGTTGATAATTTCAATATCTTTTGGGATTGTTTGTGTTATTTTGAATAAGTAACCCTGATTTGTTGAGTCTTGTTTAGCTTGATCACCTAGGCTAGGCTTTTCATATCTACTGCTAGATTCATACTGTCAATCCGTAATTGTTGTTGTGTTTAATCAATTAGAGGCTACCGGAAGATGGTAACTACCGGGGATAACACGGCCTAATAAAGTGAATGAAAATTTCGCTAATTAGTCTAGCCTATTTTTCTAAATCGTAAAGCGGCTAATTGAATTAAATTTAGGAAGCGCTTCCTAGACTGTTCAAGATGTCTGATTTAATCGTAGAGCGTCTCGCGGTTAGATTAAAAATAAGGAAAAAATTGGGTAACAACCCGTGGCGTTACCTAGGGCTAGTAATTCCATAGATGGCGAGATTTGATACCAGAATTAATTAGACGAGTCGGTCGAGGGTGTAGACGGAACCATGAATTAGAAGTTTTCCTATAATTTTATAAACTATCCTCTTTTGCTGCATTTGATTTTATTTTGTTATTCTTAATTTCGTAGTTAATTGTCTCACATCAAAACCCCCTCTTTTATCGCTTTTATTAATTTCAATTAAAGAAAGTAATTACAATTAAAATTCACACTCCCTTGGGTTCGACCCTTACTCACTGCTACTACTAGTTGGTAGAAGTCGGTTAAGGATTTTATAAATATTAATTTTGCTGCGTTGCGACGTGCGGTCAGTTTAACCTCGAGGGGTTTCCCCGAGTTCCCTAGACTGGTTTCCCGGGCCCATTATCCCATTCTACGAGGTGGCTCGGGATAAGAGGAGCCTAATCCGTACTTCCTTGCGAGCTCAAATTATTCTTCATTTTTTTTAGGGAGTGGAACAAAATGATACTTCAACAATATAATAACATCAACACATTTCGATCTAGATGCACCACAAACAAATAGCACAACACGTTTTCAACAATAAACGAGCATGAAGTAAGCATATCTCAAGTTCACCAATCGAGAATAATAAGGGACAAAACAATTCCGTGAATTCACATGCGGGTTCCACGTTAACAAATAATCGCTTAATTCTATGATACCGTCCAATTCATCAAGTA